CCATGAATGGGGCAGACACTAGGAGATATTGAGGCATGCAGGACCCAGGTATGTTTTTAAGTCAGGGGTTCCACACTGCTAAGCGTCCGCAGTGTAGAGAACATTGATGTGAGTGTGAGCTAGGGTGCATCCCGTGCCCTCTGGGAGCAGACCCGGCTGTGATCGAAGGGCAGCCCCACACTTACAGTGGTTGGGGTGCTGCCAGCTCTGGCCCTCATCCAACATGTCTTCACTTTCAGAGGCTCATGAATGTCTAGAAACTTGCTTTTATACAGCAGGTGAGCCTCTGTACTTATGACTGTTTGGGGACAGAATTCTGACCAAGGCCTAATTCTTTCCAGTGACATCTGAGACACTTCTTTAGCTGAACTTCAAGATGGTAGCTCTTCCTCTTTCCTAGCCTCTGCAGCTGATCTTTCTGGTCTTGGAGAGAGATGCAGCCGTGTTTGGAGGTCTAGCTGGTGCATTAATGCTGAACTACAGCTGGTGTAACATGAAAGGCTTGTCACATCCTTAAGGTGTTTAAATTTCTTTCTAGAGTGCTATAGGGCTGAATCTTAGACTCCTTTCTTTCTATATTCTGTCTAGATGACCTCATTTACCTCCTGCCTTTCCATCCATCTATATGCTGACTACCTCCAGATGCATTATCCATAGCTCAGACATCTCCCGTGGACTCATAACCAACTACCCTACTTGACTTCTCTATTGGAATTGCGTGGACAGCTCAGACTCCACAGGGGGCCCCCAAAGGGAGTTCTCACCTTTTCTTCCCAAATCTTCCCTAATCAGTCTCCTCATCTCAGTCAGTAGCTATACCATGTAACCAGTGGCTCAAGCCAAAAAATTGAAAAGTTATCTTTGGTTTCTCCCTTTTCTTCATGCTCAACATGCAGTCCATCCCCAGATCCATTCTTTCTACCTCTGAGGCAACTTACTTCTTTTCGTCTCCACTATCCCACCCTGGTCCAAGCCAACGCCTTCCCCTACCTGGGTGACCACAACACTCTGGACTTCCTGCTTCTGCCCTTTTCTCTTCGGTCTACTCTCATCCCCCAGCCAGCGTGAGCCTCTGTCCCCCCTCTGCTCAGACCCTTTAATGGCTTCCCACTGCTCCTAGAACAAAACACACGACTTTCACCATGACCTGGAACGACCTCCGCATGGCCTGCTTTTCCAAACTCACCTTGCCCCCTCTACTTCTCCCACTGGCCTCCCTTCTGTCCCTTACAGCACGAAGCCGTCCTGCAGGCCCCTGCCTCCTTCAAGCCCTTCATGCAGCTGATTCATTGTTCTCAGGACTCAGCTCAAATGTCACTTCCTTGGAGGGGTTTCCTTGTCTACTCCATCTGAGTAAGGTCTTCTAAGGAGTTCTTGGCTCATTAGCGCATTTCATTTCTTCACCTGCTTGTGTACGTTTCCCTTCATTCTGTCAAAGAGTGGTCATGTGATCCCCTGTCATGGTATGGGTCAGGGGATGTGGTATAAACCAGACACAGTTCTCTGTGCCCTGGAGCTCACCTCCAAATGGAGGAGAGAGACAGTGAGACAAATAACAAATAAACACACAATAGAATGCCCGGCAATGAACATCTATGAAGAAAAGCAGGGTAAGCGAATTGAGACAGACAGATGCAAACGACAGGTGACAGAAGGTCACGTAAGAACAAATGACTGATATGAAAACATCCCAAATAAGTGGGCAATGGGTGTATTATTCAAACAGGTGTTGAAGAAATACACTATTTTGAGAAAATTAGTTTTAAGCCATATCTCGCAGTGTAAGTTGCAGGAGGATTAACAAGCTAAGTCTGCAAGTGGAACCATAACCTAGAACAACACTCCTTATCCCTGCATGGGTGAGAATGGGGGAGTCCGGAAGTAGGGAAAGAAGCTCCATGAAATGATTGGTCAACTACATAATCATGAAGTTAGAAAGTGAATAAATTGGGGGAAATAGTTACTATAAATAAGAATAATAAAAAAAGGCTGAGAATATTAATATGATATATGTCCTCCATTCTAAAGCTCTTTTCCTTGCATTTTAATGTTTCTTAAAATCAAGATGTTGTTTAATCACTATGTACTTTTAATGTGGTCATTAAAAATGTTAATTAATGATATATCTTATGAGTAATAACATCTTGCAGTCAATGTTATTCTCTTAAAGTTCATGAAAATTAGTATGAACATTAAAGTTCCTGGTAGAAAATAGCTCATTTATTTAACAAATATTGGAGTGTTTATGGTGTAGCAAGGAGATGGTCGTAGAGTGGTTAGCAACATAGACACAAATCCTTGTCTGAAGTGCCTTCTGCAGTCACTGCTTGGTGCCCCGCACACCCCTCGGCTCCGGGCTGCATGGCTCTCACACCCGGGTTCTTTCCCAGGTGACCATGACTGCTGAGCGGACACCGTCTTTCCAGCGGCGCCATCATTCCCTGCGCCCTCTTCCTTCTCACCTGCCAGTCCCTGGGTTTCGGACTCAGTCAGTGAACTCTTGGCGCCAAAGAAAGCATTGCAGTGGATGTCCAGCCAGCGCTGGTGTCCTTTTAGCAAAAAATAAAGTTTTTTTACCAACAAGACACATAAAAAATCTAATCCTACATTATTTAGATGCCCTCTTACGTGCTTCTAAAACTTGTGCTTAGCCATACGTATCATTTAAATTTGAACCAGCATTTTAGCAATGAGAATGTCAACTAGTTACAGCTGTAGATTTTGGGAAGGACAGGGAGGGAACAGGAGCAACAGTACACCGTTCTCAGTGTCTGGGAGGAATGTAATTAGAAGTTGTCCTCAGCTGGGTTCTGTGGAAGCAGATCCGAGCTGGGGAATTCTTGTCCAAGTGATCTATAAAGCAAGTGTTCTCAGGAGAAGGAGAGAGAAGCAGAGGCCAGTAGGGGAAAGTTAAGTAAGTATGTGGTCTCCTCTGGAAATTAGCTTCTGCCTGGTCCCACAGGGAGCTCTAGAGCATGAATTGTACCAGAATGGTCCCTCGCTGAGGCAGGGGAGCTGATTTTTCTCACCCCTCTGTCAGCCAGCCATAGGCCGCATGCTGCCTTGGGGTCAGGTGTCGCTTAACCAACCCAAAGTGGATGGGGGCAGTTTTCCCTGAGAAGCAGGCAGCTATAAGGCATTAGTGGCCAACTCAACTTCTGGGGTGGGTGTGCTGCCCGCCCGGTACAGGGATCTCGGTGCAACACCAATGGCATCCACTGCAGGAGTCCAAAAGGAAATTAATTTGGAAGATTATTACATCAGCTTTGGTAGAAGGAAAATTCACTTTTAAGGAAGGCGCATTGTGGCAGGTATACTCTGCAAAGGCTAAGAAGGTTCTTATGGAAATTTTTATGTTATTATTGTTAAAAAAAGAGGGTTAGAGATATAATCAGAAACTAGCTTATAAAATACCAACTTAGAAGAATGATACTGAATTTCTACAGTATCATACATTTTTATGCTAGACTTTTCTAAAATCATTTTGCACATTGGTACTTCTCTATAAATACATTTTTTGCCAACAGTACTTTGCATAGAATGTTCAGCTGTACAATAAGTGGTGGATACCTGTCATTACATATTTGTCAAAACCCCTAGAATGTACACCACCAAGCGGGAACCCTGATGTGAACTGTGGACTTTGAGTGAAGATGCTGAGTGACCGCAGGTCAATTGGCTGTAACACACGTACTCCCTGGGTCACGTGTGTTGATAGTGGGGGAGGCTGTGTGCGTGCTGGAGCAGGGGCTGCATGGGAACTGTCTGCACTTCCTGCTCCATTCTGTTTGGAACCTAAAACTGCTTTAAAACACAACATCTCTTTTTTTTAAGAAGATTTTATTTATTTATTTTTAGAGTGAGGGGAAGGGAGGGAGAAAGAAAAGGAGAGAAACATCAATGTGTGGTTGCCTCTCACGTGCCCCCTACTGGGGACCTGGCCCGAAACCCAGGCATGTGCCCTGACTGGGAATTGAACCAGTGACCTTTTGATTCGCAGCCCGGTGCTCAATCCACTGAACCACGCCAGCCGGGGCACAGCATCTCTTTTTAAAAGTCTTTAACTCTACAGAAGGCTGATTCTTCTGCTTAGTCAGTCAGTTGTCTGTTCCTAAAGACAGAGACAATGTTCTGGCAACATTTTAAAAATAAAATTCTCTCCACTTGGACATCCATTCCCAGAGTCTCCAGTGTGATTGATTTGTCTAGTGGTTGGGAAAGTGAGTTTGGAAATGCCACTCTTACCAGGCCACCAGCACCCCAGAGAGTCCCTCATGGAGGATGGTTGATGTAATCAGAGCATTCTATGACCACGTCTTCTTGAGCAAGCATTATTGAAAAACAGTGTATTTGGTATAAAGGTTTTCTGTTCATATTTATCTGCACAGAACTTAGGAATATATTTCAAGTTAAAATACAGTAACAATCAGGTGAACAGCATCCATTGATGGCATAATGAATTTCTTCAATACGTTTTTCATAGCCCAGAACACACTCTAGGCTTGGAAGGACGCCTGCATCAGCATACACACTATCTCAGGTCATGTTCGTGCACGTGCACGTACGTGCACTCACACACACCCCTTCATTAAAGGAAAACACATACCATTACCCACTCCATCTGAAGTGGTTGCCTCATTTCCCGAACGCCTATTGCTGCTATATAGAGTCAGCCTACAAATAACATTTAACATGCTAAGCTTTTAACCAAAACCCCTTAGAATTATTTTCTGATATTAATGCAAAATGGTCTTTGGGGGTTTTCTCCTATGACTTTAAAGGGCAGGCATCTCCCCCACAGGAAGATGTTTAAACTGAAGCTAATATGGATGAAAATGAAAGCCAATAACTTTTATGAAATTACAGTGAGCTTTACCCCATAAGCTGCTTAGCGTTTCCATAGAAACATGATCTGTTGAGCTTTATTTTAGAAGTGCGATTCCCTGGAGATGAGAAGAGATTTCTAATGCAGCTCGTGGGCTGTCTTTTCCCCCTCACAGGCCTTGAACCGGGGCATCGCGGCTGTCAAGGAGGATGCAGTGGAGATGCTGGCCAGCTACGGGCTGGCCTACTCCCTCATGAAGTTCTTCACGGGTCCCATGAGTGACTTTAAAAACGTGGGCCTGGTGTTTGTGAACAGCAAGCGGGACAGAACCAAAGCCGTGCTGTGCATGGTGGTGGCCGGAGCCATCGCCGCCATCTTTCACACCCTGATAGGTAAGCTGTTGGCACATCGCTTGAGAATCTGGCTTTGGTCATTTCTCCTGCCTTTTAATTTATGTAAGTGCATTTATTGTAATAAGTGATGTCTTCAGTAATTAATTATATCTTTCTCATGCCAATCTCAAGAGTTGGAAGGAATGGAGTTTGTGCTCCTAGCTCAAGAAAAGAAAATGTGTTTTCTCTGGAAAGCTGTAGTTTTGTTTCTCTGATTCCCAAACGTGGTGGCACAGAAGGAGTGATTTCATTAATTGGTGACTCAATCTAGGATTAGCATTCAGTAAGATCAACAAAGTAGCAGGTTCTTTTGTTAGAGACATGCATCAGTATACACTCACTTAATCTTAAGCATTAAAATAAAAGGATGTTATTTAAAATTAATATTTGTCAGTGGTGAGAACAAGTGACAGATTGTTTTATGTATCAAAATTAACTTCTTCTGTAGGGTCTCATTATTCTGTTTTGTTCAAAGACAAGACCAAATACTCTTGGCATAACAGTCTGTCCATGAAGCAACAGGGAAGCTGTATCATCTGCATGGTAACGAGCCTACAGTCTGACCAAGACCTTGGAAAAGCACCTCCCCTTAGGGCCAGAGTTCTGCTGCTCCTGCCTTCTCTGTGGTGGTAAAACCCGAGGCCATAACTTCAGAACGTCTTGGCTTTGAGATAACTCAGCTCACCTGGTGTAAAAGTGGAATGCCACGTCTATGGGACCCAGTTGCCCAGAGCCTGTGAATGACACCTTCCTAAATGCATTATGTACCTTCAAACTGGTGCTGGTTGTGAGAGAGGGCCAGAAGATTAGTCCAAACCATTACACAATGTGTTCAGATGGCAGCAAATGTTCACTCACGTAACTGTGAATGTGAAAGGAAACAGAGTGAGGTTTTTGTGGTTTGCCCTTTTCATGTTGCAGAGAATTTTGTGCTCAGAACAGTGTGGATGAGAGGATGTTCCTCTTAGACGAAATGTTCAGCCAAAGTGTGTGGATATTCACCATTTAAGTTGGGCTCAGAGCCTCAGGGATGAGGTTAAGAGGAGATGCCTTTCTCTCTCCAACTTATGCTGTCAACACTAACTTGTGGCCTAAGTTTTGAAGAAAACTGTTGCTGCTATATTTGATCTGGGCCATTTTCATGATTATATGTATTTGAGAAAATTCCACACATAATGTAAATTAGATCTGAATAAATTTTTGTCTAAACTTGTAAATTAGCTCCCTTTTGCTACTAGTGTATCTATCTGGATTTCTAAATAAGCCTAACACTCTCTGTCTCGGTCATGGTTGAATAAGGCTTGGGGTGAATACCTTATTAGTAGCTGACAGTCAACGTGGAAGAGAAAAGCCGAGCATCCTGTGTTATTGGAACTGTTGGGAGGAGCATGTGGCCATTGAGAAAACCATCAGTGTCATTTTCTAAGTTAAATCTAAGTTTTTCAACTTTAAAGTAGAATCCTAAAATCGTACATTTGAACCAAAACGGCTCTATATCCAGATACATTTAGCAATCTTTTTTTCACTTTTAATATTTTTACAGTCATAGTGCTTCTCCTTCCACCAGACAGACGCTTTCTACAGTTGCCGAGAAAGCACGTATCAGTTTCTCCTGAACACTCCAAACTCAGATTTTAACGATTTGCACTCTTGTTGGTTGTTGGCCTCGTTTGAGTTTCCTGCGTGAATCTTTCATCACTCCTGCCTCCTGTCTTCCCCCGCACCCGGCATCTGACTGTGCCTCACCTTCCTTTCTCCTTCCATTCTCAGCAATCCTGCTAGCTTTTCCGTACCTGGGTTTCGTTCAGTTTTAGCCTCCCTTTGACTTGAGCACAATCTCCAGACAGCATGCCGGCCTGTCACCGTCCGCAACCTTTTCCAAAACTACCTTTCTACCATCAGTAAACATCAGCCCCCTTTCAGATTCCACTTTATGTGCCACCTGCACTAGACATTAAACCCATTCTCACATCTTTGTCGTGCTGAAGACAGCTACGTATGTTTCTCCTGTAATAGCCACCGCTTGCATAACTATGCTTGTGACAGGGGAGCAGGGACATGGAGAAACAAAAAGGCAAATAATCCAAATATGTTTGACTTGAGAAGCGCTCGTGGACTCTCAGGCCACGTCTCTAATGATACTTGCTTGGACTGATGTTAAGACGAATATCCACTTCGTTCGTGCACAGCCCGAGGGGCCTGCAGGAAGCACAAGAAGCCATATGTGTGTCACGGACCCACTGTGCTTAACTCGCAGAGTGGAAATGTGAACCAGAGGAATCCAGGCTCGAAACTTAGCCTCTCTGTATTCTTTTGTTCCGGTGAAACTAGCCTGATTGTCTTAAACTTTCCCTTTTTGGTTCATCAAATAAATTTAATTTAATAAATTTAATTTTTAATCAAGATCTTACAGCTTTCCAGTGGCGTTTCTATAAGAGCATTTGCGAGCAGAGAGGAGGAAGGGAGTCCTTCTCTAAGAGGCTGGTTCTCAAAGGCCTCATGGAGTGAGTGGGTCATCTCCTAACTGGCTCTGAGTGCGTGAGCTGGGTTTCAGCACAACTCTTTTTAATGTTTCCTTTATCTGTGATACAAGGTAGAGTCGAGAATTTGCCTCAGTTCTCTAAATTAATATGTTGGTATAGCCCTATAAAATTCCAAATGGTGACTCTTCTTGCCTATTACATGGCTTGTGATTTTAATAACACCCTAGCATTCTGCATTGTTTTTTCCTATTCAATGGTCAACTCTTCTTGGTTTGTTGTTGCTTTGTTTCCTACTTAATCTTCTGTTCACTTTATTCTTTACAATATTGGTTACTTTCCCAACATGAGGCCTCTTATACATTTAAACCCTGTAGGTGGGTTTTTCTTTTTGACATAGTCTTAAGTACTGATAAAATTCACCCATTTTTTCCTATTGGTATTATTAATGTGACTGTTACCTGTAAAGAGATATATACCACTTGTATTAACAGAACTAATCTTCCTGCTTTGACTAAAGATGAGTAAGAATGACCCTTTGTTGAACTCACTTTTAAAATAATCTAATCCCCATCTGTGCTATCAGTGGTCCAACAGAAGATTTATTGAACAAATAATATGTGCATACTATTCCGGGTCCTATCAATCAAAAGGTGGGAGCAGAAGTGAGATAGCTACAAAATATAGGGCGGCCAGATACACCCCTCTCCTCGAGTAGATATCATCCCTGGGGAAACGTGCGTGTTTGGTACCGATTTCCAGAAGAACACTGGCAAAAGCTGTTTGCAGCCAGTGGGAGCTTTGGAGACATGGTAAAGGTCAACCAGAGTGAAAGTGGAGAGAGTTAAAAACCACCTCCAAACTGAAAGGGCAGAGTGACTGTGAGTAACCAGGAGGGAAGGAGGTCTTGGCAAGGGAAGGATGTGGGAGGCACGCATGCACTTATCAATTGGCAGAAATAAAGCGAAAAAGAGTTCAGTGTTAACGTGAGCGGTGCCCTGTACTGGGGTGGGAGCAGGTAACCAGGTAAGGGAAGTATGGTGGCTGGAACCTGAGACTGTAGAGGAGCTCACTAAACAGCCCACGTAGCAAAAGGAGGGGAGGAGAAGACAATGGGAAGGGGTCAGGGAAGGGCCCAGTAGGAAGAGGAACCGGGCAGGGTGGGCATCAGCAGCGAGCCCTCTGCCCGTATCTGAGTAACCTGGAGATCCTTTGATGCCAGCGGGCATTTCTGTGACGTGCCACAGACGACCATGTTGAAAACAGGAGATTTGTTCTGATGTTCATGTAATAATGTTTAATACATCTTTAGCCAAAAAAAAATCTGTATATTCTACTTTTTGCTTCTTTATAACCTCAAGGTCTCCAAAGAAATTTTTAATATTTAGAAAAGTCAGATGCATTTTACCATTCTGCATAATCTCCTTGGTTACAATCTAGTGCCTTGGTTAGGTACTCTCAGATTATTTTTTTCAAGGTTGCATATTCCACAATGCTTTCAGTCATTGGAGAAATCCTGGTCCCCAGCATAAACTTCTGTACCTTAGATTTCTCTCCCAATCTAGATGAATTTTGACACTTCATATTTTTTGTATCTACTAATAATTTATCAAGTTCTGGAGGATCAGTTAGAAGGGATTTCAAATGTAAGCATCTTCAACTTCAAAGAAACCAGTTTCAAACATAGCTCCTTACCTTCACGCTGTGTCATCCCGGGCATCAGTTAACGGGTCACAGCAGGACGTTAGCAACAGGCTCAGGTCAAAGAGCACCAAGAGCTCTGCTACTGTGTTTGTCCCAATACTAGGTCCTTTTTATTAAATTTGCAGTAGTTGAAGAATTTTTCTTCCTTGTGTTTCATATTTGTTTTCTCTGTTCTTTTTTTCTTTTTGGACCACACCAGTTAGCCAGGCGGTCTCCTGCCCTTGAGAGAGTTGCACAAGGCCATGGGTGTCCCCAGACACAGCCATGGGCGTCCCCAGATGTGGCTGGAGCAGGTCTCACTAACCACACAGGCACTTCCCTAGGAAAGTGTGGTGCAGACTGTGAGATGAAGGTGGCTAAAAAAAAATGTATCCAGCAACCCCCGTCCCCCACTCCACCCCCCGCCAAACCTTCTGCAGTAAGCCAAGTGAGGAAATGCTTGGAATTGTGTTGGGCTGACAGATTTGAAGATTAGAAGATCCACTGGCCCAGGAGTTCATGTCTGTTCTATGCACGCCCATCGCCTGGCTCTAGATACCAAACTGCAGGAGCCCTTGGAGTATTTTTGCCTTTTGTTCTCGGCCTTTGTCGAACACTTGTTGCTAACTGCCCCTTTTTAAGCTAAGCTGAAGCCATTGCTCTTGTCATGGACTCACCTATGAGATACCATTTTTTAAATTGCAGTGCTTGGGGTTTGCCATGGCCAGACCTGAATTTAGACTAGTGGACAAGGTGCAGCTGTCACCTTATTTCTCTCTCAATCTGTAAAAGAGAGGAAAACTTGATGACCTTTGTTTTTGGGTTCATTTGGGTTCATTTGGTTTCATTTGGGTTCAACTTCATTTTACGCGCATGGCATCAATATTGCCTGGCCTCCTAATTCATATAGATGTAGAAACTACTGCTGTGGATTTCTTACTTCTTTATACATTTATTCTCAACAGTGACCTGTACGGCCCCTTCCCTGTTCCAGAACAGCCTGGGCAGTCAGCAGAGCTCAGAGGAATGACATTGTCACAATGAAAAATTAAAGTTATTTCTGGAATTATTCTGTTTCTCAGTCTTCCCTAGTCAACAAACTTCTCCATTATTCATGGATCATAAAGCAGCCTGTAAAGTATGAATAGCTATACTTTGATGTAATTTAAACCAACAAGGATGCTAGGAATAAACAGGCAATTTCAGTATAGTCTCACAATTTATTGCTATATAACAAATCACCCCTATACTCAGTGATTCAAAACAAAAGCACCTGTTCTTACTCACCAGACCATGGGTAGGCTGGACAGCGCTTTGGGGCGAGGCTGTGCTCACGCCTCTGTGGTCAGCTGGCAGTCAGGAGGAGGTTCTGCTGATCTTGGTGGGCACATTGGTGCGGGGGGGGGGGGGGGTGACTGTAGGCTGGTCTAAATGGCTTCTTCTGGGACATTTTTGCAATCAGTCTGGCCCAGCCACCTCTTTGGGGGTTAGGGATTCATGCATTTATTCAGTCAATATATATTGAGTGCCTCCTCTGTGGCACACACTGGGCTAGATACCTGGGAATCCAGATGTGACCGTGGCGTGTTGTCCAGAGGAAAACAGGCACTCCACAGTAAATCATCACAACACGTGTTCTTCCACGTCTTGATGCCAGTGAGATGGAATTTTTGTTCTCGTGTTAATATTTCATATTAACTTTACTTACTTTGTGTATAGGTTTATGCCTTCTTTCCTAGGCCTGGGCAACTTTGTACCTCCCTTCCCATATCTCCCAGATAAATGTGGCACCGTGCAGATTACAGATGCGCATGCTGTGTGTCTGTGACTCAGCCCGAGGCAGGTGACCAGGCTCTTCACAGTGCCTGACACATGGAAGTCACTCAGCCATTTTTGTTAAAGTGATTTAAATACCAGCCGTACAAGCACACGCTTCAGAACTGACGTGTTGGAGACACAGGGGCGAAGGTGCCGGCCCCTGCCGAAAGCCCGTAAACACCACGAAGTGGGCCAAGCAACAGTGAGGCTTTCAGCATCAGGAATTGGGGGGTGTAAATTAGAATAAGAGTTCTCAAGTTTGCCTCTTGGAAATACACATAATATCCTGTTATTAAAATGGGAGGAGGGCTTTCTCCTAGATTCCCATGGGAAAATACATGTACATAGATGGTTTGGTTCATGTTAATATTTCATGGCATTTTGCAACAAGAGCTGGTAACTACTGGACGAACAAGCTTGAGAACCACTGATTCTGGCCACGGTCCATGACCCTGACGGCTGAGGTCAGAGGAGCTAGGGATGGGAGTGGGCCCTCTGGTTTCTTCTTGTCTGGGCGGGGTCAAAGCTGTCACCTGTAAGTAGGTCAGGTCAATGTCCCCTGACTGTAGCCCTGGCTGGAAATCCATTTACATCTGTTTAAAAACCTTATTGAATTTTTCTTTTCAATGTTCTGCTCTTCAAAAGGAATACAGGCTGTTTCTGAACAGTCTTGGACGGGCAGTTGATAGAAGTGGAAGGTTACTAGATGTAGTCACGGCAGCTAGCCTGGTAATTAGGGACTCTGTGCAAAGCCCTTCAGACAAATTACCCCCAGCCATCAGCTCCAGCCAGAGACAGCTCCGGGGCGCAGGGCAGGGCAGGAGGGAGGAGGGGAAAGGGGAGGAGTGAAAAACAGCTGCTGGGATTTTATATTCCGGGCTCACAGGGTGGAAACAGCCTTTGTAGTCACCGGTCAGACTCTTCTGCTGTGTAGGGGAGGAGTAGAAGGAAGAAAAGAAAAACGGGAGAAAAAGGTTTCCTTGGCCTCTGAATTTTTCTAGTACCTAAAAGAGGAAAAAAAGAAAGGAGCAGCAAAGGTGGCCATGGACCCATAGGTCCCAAATTACCCCGGGACCTGGGGACGCCGAAGGAGCCCAGCCCAGCCGCGGGCTGGAGAAAGCAAGGGTGGGGGGTGTTCTGGCAGTCAGGAAGCCGGGCTGGGCTCGTCACCCATCAGCCCTTCAGACCCTGCTAAGCTTTAAATGTTTCCTTCATTACTGTGCAGAAAAGCACTGTTTTGACTGTGTTAGTTAAGATATCCTAACATGAGTGAGTATATTTACAAAGGGCAGAGAAGCGTATTTCTATTGATCTCTGCCCTCCCCGCCCACACAGCAAACACGGTGACCCCTCTCAAGGGCAGGGCCCTTCTTTCTTGCCATTCTCCCAGGGTCTCACACGAAAACCGTTCTCTCCCTCACGATCTCCGAAGCTGCCTGTGTGAGTTTGCTGGTGCTGTTCTGACACAGTAGCCCCGACTGGGCAGCTCCGACAGCAGAACTGTGTTGTCCCCCAGGGCTGGAGGCTGGAGGATCCAGGCATCGGCAGGGTTGGTTCCTTCTGAGGCCATGACGGTGAATCGGCCCCGGGCTTCCTCTCCTTCTCCAGCATCTGGTGGCTGGCTGGCACCTGCTGCCTTCCCTGGTCTGTGCAGGCATTACCTGTGTACCTGGTGATCACTTTGTGTGTGTCTGTCTCTGTGTCCAAACTTGAAGGACACCAGTTCTATAGCACTGGGAGCCCACTCTATTCCAACATGACCTTGTCTTAACGAATTATATCTGTAACGGCCCTGTTGCCAAATAGGGTCCAAGGACCAGGGCCTAGGATTCCAATAAGAGTTTGGAGAGGACACAGTTCAGCCCATAACAACACTGCCCTCTAGGTCGCAGCCTTTCACCAGTTTTGTGGTCTCCAGCTTTGCGTGTCCAGTCAAGTCTACTCAGCTGGCATTTGAGATCAACCCTAACCTTTACCAAGGAGGTTTAGCTCATGAGCTATTCATAGCCAGCCGTGGGCTCTTGCACTTGGCATTGCACTGCTGTGTTTGCCAGCGTGACTGCTTTGTTTACGGCCCGTGGCCTCTGCCAGGGTGGGGCAGTGCTGTGGGCAGGGGCAGCACTGTGTCCTCGCAGGTCCCAGCGCAGAGAACATCTCCCGACCGAGGGAAAACAAATGGATGGGAAGGCAACAGCAGCAGCAATGAACTCTGAAGCAAAATGCCCAAGCTTCAGCACCGGAAGTGGACAGTGTGTATGATAAAGTCACATCATCCTGTTACTTTGTCAGTCTGTCGGCTTCTCTCAGGTCTGAGTGCCTCAGTCAAGCCTTCTCTTACCCACTGTCATCGGTTTGCTTTCTGATCCAAACACAGACCTCACAGCCGCCACCTCCTTCCTCCCTTGTCCCTTTGTCCCTTGCCTGTACCTAATCGCACCTTCCCACAGCTCTCCTCTTTCTGCCACATGTCACCTCACCTCCTGAATGTATCTTCTTGCTGCCTCAGCGCCCCTGCAGACCCCACCCCATTCCACACCTGACACCTTTGCTCACCTGGCAGCTTACCTGGTAGATTTTACCCTCCACTTCTCCTTGGAGGATTTGGCCCTCTCCTCCTGCGTTCACTCCCCCTTTTCCTTGTCCCCCTGTATGTCTTAGCCCTTCCTGTCTCTGTCCCTTGAAATCACTCACTTGCATCTCAGCCCCCAGTGGGATTCCTGTTTGTGCATGTAAACACCCTCGATAGCATCCTCATGACCTCACTCAATTCCCAGAATTCAAGACTAATCCTGACAACGGATAGAGAGTCATTCCTTTGTACCAGTCAATGTGGTAACAAGTCGTCTCCCAAGCTTTGCAATGGGACGAGGGTTCTTTTTGTTTCCCATGAGGTGAGACTCCCACTGTCTTCTAGATCCTTTCCGATTTCAGAGCAGCTCCTGTGGTTGTCAAGTACGGAAACACTCGCATTTATAAAAGAATGAAAGCAGCAGGGCCACTGCTGTTAAGGCACTCTGTAAAGCCTGGGAAAAATACAGAGATGAAAATGCTCCTGCAGAGTCTAAACACGTGTCAGTGAGGTGGAAAAACCTTCATAGTTTATGTCATCTCTGCTCATTCTGTCCATCAACATGCTACCTAACACACGAGGAAGGCCTTTCTCTTTCTCCCCTTTCTATCCGTTCGGCACCTGCACGTTCATTCGGCCCACACTGGTTCAGTGCTCATTATGTTCCAGTCACACCCTGGTCACATGTCCTGGCGGGGGGAGGGCTTCAGAAGCACCTGAAAGGTACCGCTTTTCCACTGGACAGGGCTATGCCCAAAGAGGCTACCCTCCTCCCCCAAAATAAAACAAAATATGAATGGCAAATGGTGAAAAGCTAGCTGTAAAATTGTTACTGAAAAGGCATAGTAACATCTAGGAATTTTCTCTTGGTAAATGATTAAGAATATGTGTAAACATTTAGCTTCAAACCTGTCCATCAAGCCTTCTTTTATAATATCAAAATAATGGGAACCACCGCAATGTACAATAATAGGAGACCGAGTAAGGCGATCCTAAGTAAACCGACAGAAAGGAATTCAGTACAACAATTAAAATGTTGAAGCATGTCATAAAAAGGTATTCATGGTTTACAAAGGTGTATATGAAGAATGATCACATCGTGTTTTCTGTTAAAACACACGTGGGTACCCCACACACGGCCACCACACACCCCCATAAGGGAGCTGGGCGGCCAGAGCCCAGAGCCTTCCCCAGGACCCCCCTGGGCAGAGGGGTGACGTTGTAGATGGTTTTCTTATTTTTGCTCCTATAAATATTCTAATTCAAAAAATATATATTACATTTAAAATTGTTTTTAAGCTTTTGGGAGAAAAAACACAAAGGTAACTTTTTCTACATATGACCGTGTATGTGTCTGGACCCTCTGCAGCCTACAGCGACCTGGGCTACTACATCATCAATAAACTGCACCACGTGGACGAGTCCGTGGGGAGCAAAACGAGAAGGGCCTTCCTGTATCTCGCCGCCTTCCCTTTCATGGACGCAATGGTGAGTAGGGAAGATTGTCGGCTTTCGTTAATTATAGCATTGTGTACAGAACAGAAAATTGGCCATCTTAACCATTTTGATGCGTACAGTTCGGTGGCATGAAGTGCGTTCACATTGTTGTGAATCTTCAGAATTCTTCTCACCTTGTAAAATGGAAACTCTGTCCCCATTACACACAGACTCCTCGTCCCCCCCTCCCCTCAGCCCCTGGCAGCCACCCTTCTGCTTTCCGTGTCTACGCATTTAACGACACTAGGGGCCTCATATGAGCGGAATCACACAGTATTTTTTTGTCATCAGTTTATTTCACTTCATAGAATGTCTTCAAGGTTCATCCATGTTGTAGCGTGTGCCAAAATGTCCTTTTTCAGGCTGAATAATGCTCCACTGGATGTATACACCACATTTTGTTTTCCGGTCCCCAGTGGACATTCGGGCTACCTCCACCTCTGGGCTGCTGTGAGTAATGTTGCTGGAAACGTAGATGCGCAAACACCCTTCTGTGTCCATGCTTTAATTCTTGTGGGTGTATACCCACAAGTGGCATTGCTGGATCACGTAGAATTCCCTTTTTGGTTTCTGAGGACCCACCACACTGATTTCTGTTTCCCATCCCACAGTCAGAAGGGTTCCAATTAACCATTGACTTTGAACTGGTCCATCTTGTCATTTATTTTATGAGAATTGCCTTTATTTTCTGTAAGTTCTGGCAGGCGGCAAGAGAGCCTGTTTGAAAATGCTGGTTGAAAGTTTGGTTACAGCGTTCCCTTCTAGTGTGTCCAGGATCAAGGGATCCAGCTAGCTTTCTGACAAACTTACCACTTGCGAGCGATAAGCCCACAAAGCTTTTTAGAGTAAGAGTCTTTTGAAATATACTGGTAGGATTTCATCTCATAAACACCTGCCTTACCACAGTAGCTAAGGGTGGCTTGCTTCCTTGGATTAAATTCTTTGTCATGATTCTGAAGAGTTCTCACACAGTGCTTTTTTTCCCTTCTGTCCCTCTGCGTTGTAGACATAAAGGAGACTTAGGAAAAATACACACACACACACACACACACACACACACGCCAGTTACATCCAATGCTGGAAAATAAGCCCTTTCCTTGGGCTCCATTTTAAATTTTTCTTGGAAGAAGACTTAAAAATATGTTCATCCGTACATTTTTTACCTCCTCTAGCTCAGGTTTTACATGCATTAGATGCATGGGGTAAGTGGATGTCTGCGTGGTGGTGAGGCGGCATCTTCCCAAATGTTCCCTGACATCTTAGATTATTGACTGGTGCCTGAGGAGTCTCTGGCAGCTTTCCACTGGTTTGCAGGGCAGCCGTAAATGTTTATCGCGGGGTTGACAGAAGGTTCTGACTCTCAATTGTTGTGGCATCACTTTAGTGGGAGAATTGAGCCATCAGAACACTTATGCCGAGATTTTCTTCTTTCTTTTCACCAGGTGCAATTACTCTGAGAGTGGACGCATAATCAGAACAAAAGAGAGAGGCAGAGGGGTGGGGGTCCATAGAACCAGGTTCCCTGGGGTGTCCGCGCTGGCCTGTGGTGGCCCCACCGAGCTTTCACGTCATTTAGAGAGTGGGGTGAAGGGACCCTGTTCGCAACGTCTAAAGGAGAAAGAGCCTAGTTAACATCCTGGCCGAGTCCATGATTTTGCTCTGATGCCTGCCCGCCCATCTGTATTGGGACTTTGCCAACTCACAGAAGCAGTGCAGTCACACAGTGAATTCATGGAACTAGGGACTCTCAGGGAACACGAATCACAGACTCTCAGATGCCCTGTATCCCACTTTCCTTCAGCTGCACTTATTTGCCACAGAAGAGTTTCTAACACTCAGTGTAACACAAAACATGTGGGATCAGTATCCTTTCCTTCCCTGTTTCATCTGCCAGTATCCTCCAACAATCCCAAAGTAAGAGACTTCTAATAAAGAGAAAAATAATGAACACTTACAAAGGGCAGGCCATCTCCCCAAACACACGCACACGCACACGCACATGCACACGCACAACCCTGCAGCATGGCCCTGATATATTGGTTGGAGAGAGCATATTTGAAAACCACAACGCTTATCATCCAGATGGCTTTTGGTCAACAAATATAGCCCAGAAGCTGTTATTTGCAAATGTTATCTTCAATTTGCATTTCTTTTTGCATCTGGTACCTTGGGACCTCTAAACTGAGGAAGGAAGGGATTGTAGCAGCTGCTATGTAGTGTTGACGCCGACCTAGTTAACGCTGATGAAATGTGATTTCTGTCAGTCCAGATCGGCCTTTCCAGGTTAGAAGGATGATCCTTAAACTGATCCTACCATGAACTTCAAACCTTCTCCAAACCAGCCATCCCCTGGGCTTTTCATTGTCTACACCCCTTACAGGACCATCCCTCTTCATTTCCCTCAAAGATACAAAGGGGCAGATCAGATCTCACAGGAACTGGAAGAGTCGGAAATAGTGGGGCCCTAATCAGTTCATGAGAACCTGTAATGATGGCAGCAACTCAGAACCAAGTTAGAGCCCTCATTATATATAAGATGCTTTATCTACGGAGAAGCTGCTGCTGTGGGATTCCAACTGCTCCCAGAGAGACCAGGTTCCCCCGTTCTTGATGTTCCTCCAGCTCTCCCACCAGGCACGTGGACCTAACCGTACACTAGTCTGCATACAGCTTGTGTGAGATAAATACTGTGCAGTCACTGATTCCACTTAAAAATCTAACATGCCTGTAGCCACCAGGCCAGATTACAGCCATTTTACCAACTGAAGATTTACCAACGTGCACTGCTAAGATTTTAGGAAGTATAGTCTATTTTAGGAATGTCCAGTACCTCACAGCGACCAGATGTAATGTGATACTAAAGGTGTACCTCATGCCAAATACTTTTCTTTCTGGCAGGCATGGACCCATGCTGGCATTCTCTTAAAACACAAGTACAGCTTCCTGGTGGGATGTGCCTCAATCTCAGATGTCATAGCTCAGGTACGTATGGCCCGTGTGTCAGTCAGCGCTGTCGGAGCCCTGTCCGGGTGAGCGCCAGAACTCACGGGCACCCCCGTCCATCCATTCACGCTGTAGCACGTTCCTGCCTGACTTGGATCAGATGTGGCTTCGGTAGATGTTTGGGAAAACAGACCTCCTGTGATACAAGCATGTGTAATCTTGCTAGAATGAGGGTTTTAGGAAGTTAAATTTAGTATCAGAGGTTTTGGCCTTTATTTTTAAAGAGCTTGCATGTGAAAGGACTATAAAGTCTCTGCTGGTACATTTGGGGGTGGTCACAGGGTCACTGTGCACTTGGCTGTGTGGACACTCGGCATTCGGACACTTGGCTGTGTGGCCTGTCACCCGGTTCTAGAGAGAGCTCTCAGGAATCGTCCTTAAATGTTGTTTGTCATGCTGTTGCCACACGGGGCTGCCATTCACGCGTCATTTCCCCACATTTAAAAGGACCAGGAAGCCAGATGCTGCCTGAGAAGAAGGCTCACTGTCCGCTGAGTTCAGCTCCTCGGGGTGTGGCACCAGCCCTGGTCTTCCCTTCTCCTTCCTTCCTTCTTCTACTGAGGACACTGCAGGAAACATTTCAGCAGAAAATAAGATCTCATTCCTATAATCTATAAGTTAGACTGAGTACCTACATTCAGGGATTCAGGAGCACGATGTCTTCATAGAGGAGGAGGTTACACCGATTTCTAAGCTCGCTTCCCAGTTCTCAGTTCTGTCCTCTGAATGCTTACGTGCACTTCGTCCTGGTTCTTCCCTGTCGGACACACTAGCCCTTCAGCTGTCTTTTTGAAATAACCTGCTGTTAGACTGTGGTCCCTCCCGAAAGACCGAGAGCCAAAGTTCCAGATTAATTGCACTCACTCTGTGGATCTCAATGAGAAGTAACTGAAACTCGCTCCTGCTGACTCGGCGTGCGTGCGCACAGGCGCGTGGGTGCGAACCTACAGCCGTTCTCCTGCTCAGTTTAAACTGGTCCTGGCCCTCGCCTGCTGGGAGGGCTCCCAAGTTCGGAATAACTGTGTCCAGTTAGTAGGAGCCATGAAAGCTGGATTCAGATGACGTCTGGTTTTGGCATACTTCTGGTGAAATAGTTATTTTAAGCCTTGCAGTCGGAGTTCCTACCACAATTTGGTTGGAGGAGTAAATTCGATTTTTGTTCTTAAGTGTTTTACCCGCACCCTCAGCTCCATTCCTCTTATGACCTGGAAGCATTTGTTAATTACCAAATTTGAGAATGAGTAAATAGTCCTTTGAAATACCACCGAGGCATAGCTAGCTAACAAGTAATCACCAGTGATAAAATGGAAACAGCTCATAATGCCTCGGCCTGCAGTGGCAACTCCCACTCTTTAAAAAGTTTACCAAGCCCATTGGTTTCACACAGCAGCACAACAAAGCTCTTGGTTTGATTCAAACAGGCAGTGCTTCTCTGTGCCACTGTTACTGTAATAGTTCTACATTCCAGTTACATTGCCAGAGGATTTATGAAAAATATTGCTGTGTTTCATTTCATGATCACATGGACATTCTCAGCTCACTCAGTATCAAAAGGAGACTTCTCTTGAGGCTACGGGACCTTCCCGAGACCTCCAGTCCTTTAACACTTCTGCCGTCACCGACCCTCGCCTTCCCAAGTCAGCTGGTCCAAGGGTCTGGGCAGGCACCTGGGAGCCACCCCAGAGCGACCCGCTTCACTCCTAGGCCTTTTCTGTTTCAGTCCTAGACTTTGTCTTCTTTCTACCTGCCCTCTGTTCCCCACCTCTCCTGTGCTCACCCTGGTGCAAAGGATCACGCCTCCCACCTGCACTACCTGAGATGCCTCATAACTCACCTCTACCTGTCTGCCCTGGCTCCTCCCCGTCCTTCCCCACTAGGCCACAGCGATCTGTTCTCAGTGTCATTCTGGCCACCTCGCCCCCAGTCATGGCCTGCACGGTGCTGAAGACCACGGGCCCTACTTCTTCTCAGGCCACGCACTGTCCTCTTGTCCCCTTGCTCTCCGCACAACCAGCTACCAGCCCTCCTTTCGGGGCCTCAGTGAGACCCAGCCCCCTTCCATGGGGGTCTCAGCCCGGATCCCTCTGCCTGCGTTCTCCCCACCTCCCTCCGACTCCCGCTCCCCATGCCCCACTACCCCTGCTGAGGTTGTAGGTCTCAGACCCACTCCACGTGGGGTGCCCTCCCTCACCCCACAGCTTGGCCCTCTTTCCTTCACGGGCCTTGTCGCACTTTGCCAGTGGACGCTCGCTGGCATCCTGTCTGATCAGCCTTCCTGCCTCTTCCACGAGACTTCCAGCCTCAAGATCACAGAGTCTGGGACTGTGTGCTATTTGTCATTGAGTCTCCAGCACCTGGTATGGGGCCAGCACATAGCAGGCTGTCACTGGGGAAGTCCTCACCACTGAGACAGCAGATTTCCCTCAGGAAGTAACCTGACATTCTTTGACGGCTGTGTCAGATGCAAAATCACCATTTGGAATTGAAATAGGAAGGCTTGAGGGTTATTTTAAATTGCTAAGTGATACAATCCACCACGAAGATGTAAGTGCTACAAGTATTGGACCACCTGGCACCAAGTCATTACAAAGACAGGAGAGGCTGACAAAATCTTCACCTTGACCTCAGGAGCATCACTGGCGGAACGCACCCTCCTGCCCCTCCATCCCACTCTAGCCCACTGTGTTCCTCAGGCCATTTTCTTGTTATCTCCACTCTTACTGCTTTGCCTGTGGTTTCCTGTTCCTTCAAATCCAAATCCTCCTCCTCAGGGTTACACAGCCGTCCTGGTGGCCCCAGGAGCCTTCCTGGACTTGGCAGAGGAGGGGTTGGTTGATACAAGCTTTGTCTCTAAACGTGATCATCTCAGTTAACACTGGAGGTTTGCTTACGTCCTATGTTACACTTGCTTGTAGACATGCTAGTCTGAGTTTGCACGTTAGGTCACCTTAGAGGCCTCTGATTCCTTAGAGAAATATATGGGCATATTGGCCCCGGCACAAAACTCAACCCTCTGATCCAAACACAGTGGGTTCTTCACAGGGCTTCACCAGTGGGTCTCCGCTGCCTGCAGTTAACACAACAGTTGTTCCACTGGGAAGCAGCAGTCACGGTGACAGCCCCGGGCATCTCTGCCCATCACTGGGCTCTGCTGTATCCCCAAAGAGCATGAGTGTGAATGTGAACGTGAGCGTGACTGCGAGTGCCACCCCAGTCTGTGACCACTCACATTGCCTATGCTGCTGACTGCCCAGTGTGACCACACAGCCATACAGTCCCTCTGTCCTGCATGCCCCCAAGGATGTCTGTGCCCGATGTCCATCTCATTCACTGGGTTGGAGAACGACCCCCTGGGCACAGGGTCAGCCAGTGCTGTAAGCAGGTCACCTCGATATCTAACACTTCTGTTGCCTCCAGAAGAGTTTCTCTGGATCACTCTGCTTTTCTGCGGCCACTGCGGCGATGAGTGTACTCGTTCAGTGAGTCATGCTCGGTCTCCTGCTTATTGTGTAACTTTCTGTCCCCACTGATTTCTTGCTAAGGCAGTGGTCAGGGTAAGCCTCCTTTGGTCAGGGTCACTCAGTGGTGGTATACTTCACATGCCTATCAGCCGGTAGATATTTGGCTATTACGGTTGATGTAACTCAGGCGTATCCCCCTCCTCCAGTGCCCCATTTTTTGCACTCAGTACACCTCTGTGGGCTTCAGAATGTGTGGGTCCCCGGACTCTGGACAGAGGCGGGGCTGCTTCTTGGATTTCTGCACAACAGGGAGGTTAGATGCATTGATACATTTGCTTTAGAGATTTTATTAGTATTTCTATCCCTCTTGATTATTTTCGACCTATTCCATTTTCATAAGTTAATATTTTTAATTTGGCTTGTTGTATAACTAATATTAGTGCTTTTGCAGCATTTTTAGGGAATTCCATCTTATAAACACTAACGTCTACTTTTCTGTATGCTGTCGTCGTCATTCATCACCACTCCATGTGTGTGCGTGTGCGTGTGCATGTGTCGGGGGTGGGGGGTAACTGAGGTCCTCAGGCGTGGAGTGCGTGTGTGCCTCAGCATCCAGCCTCAAGAGGGAAAAGCAGTGACGTATCTTTGGGGGTCTGGGGGGCCAGTGTTTCTAGATGTTTTTAGCCAAAACCTTAACCACATGTGTGGTTGCCTTAAAACAATCCTAGTGGTGAATAGAACAAAATGACTGTGCGCCCCCCCTGTGAATCCCAAATGTCTGACCCTGCGTCCTGTGAGAGCAGCATTGCGCCACGGCCCCGTTTCTGTTCCCTTCCTCACCAGCATTGAGGTTTTTGCTTAGAAACCCATGTCATCTGGGCCCAAGGAATTGGGCTGTGCTTCTGTGGATCGGTGCTGTCTTCTCCGCCTGACTCGTCTTGTCTCCCCCTCTCGCAGGTCGTTTTCGTAGCCATCTTGCTTCACAGCCACCTGGAGTGCAGAGAACCCCTGCTCATCCCGATCCTCTCCTTGTACATGGGCGCCCTGGTGCGCTGCGCCACCCTGTGCCTGGGCTACTACAGGAACATCCACGACATCATCCCGGACCGGAGCGGGCCGGAGCTGGGGGTACGTCCTCAGACTCGCTGACAGGCTGTCTGTACCTTCGAGGGGCATTGAGTTTGACCCCACCCTCCCATGAACTGAGAAATCAGCAAAATAAGCACACTCGCTGAGACGTCAAGTGCTAGGATGTGTTGGCAGGTGGAGAATTCACCAACTCTGGAGATCAGAGCAATGTTACAGGCCACTGACCTCTGTGAGACTGAAGCACAGTGGGTCGAGTCAGGCCAAGGGGTGCACACAGCATTTGTGGTTTTTCTTCCTCTCTATGGTCTAAAGTAAGTCATTCTACAGTCAGCCAAGATGGTAGCACCCATGGCTCCTTGAACTCACATTTGATTATCTTGGAGTTCCAGCAGGGATCCAGGCTTTGTCCCTGCCTTCTGTGTTGTCCAAACACAGTGGATCATTTGGGCACCTTCTATGGAGTGAGAAGAGCTTTCAGGCACCATAGGGTGACACAGGAAATGTTTAAATATGGTCTCTACTGTCAAGCAACTTTGTGTCCCACTTGACAGTAAAGACCAAAGCAGAAGCAACACATGTGGGCCCAAGCATAGACACAGTGGGAACACGAGAGCCCCTGAGCTGAGAGGAGGGAGTTAGTGGTGTGGGCTGAGGCGCCTCCCTGATGGAGGCGGGGCTTGGGCTGTGCCTCGAAGTGCAAATAAAATACAAGCAAGGTAGAGTAACTTTACACACGTGACCAAAGCTTCCTTTTCATCATAGGTGTACACAGTGTCTGATTTCTATGCGTGCTGATCTTTTCCACCATTAGGTGTCAGACATCATTTAGATTTATTTCCCTCTAGCTATAAGGTAGATACACGTGATCTTATGTATTATGTAGTCCTGAGTAAATTACCACCCTCCCCCCTCTGACCCCGCCTTTGGCCACATGTGACTTTCATCATGTCAGAACATTAATTGGATTGCCCACTTACCTCAATCCCAGGTCAGGCCACCAATAAAACCCAACCTAGTTATTTCCGCCACGAGGACAACCACATCAAATTGGTCTTAATGGTAATAGTCCATCTCTTGACATGCAGCCGCCAGCAAAGGGAAATAAATTAAAGTGGCTGAGATGGCCCCTTGATGTCACTTCTATCCTCATGGAGAATCAAAGCCAAAATTAAATACTGGAAGCCAGGCTTTAAAGATAGCATACATCTCTGCTGTAGAATCCTTAATAAGTCCCACTTTCTTTACCATGCCTTTATAATTTTTGCCCAGGCCAGGTGGCTCAGTTGGTTGGAGCTTCGTTCAGGACACCAAAAGGTTGCAGGTTCAATTCCTGATCAAAGCACATACCTAGGTTGCAGGTTTGATCCCCAGTCCTGGCACATATGGGGAGACAATTAATGTTTCTCTCTCACATAGCTGTTTCTCTCTCATTCTCTCTCTCCCTTTCTCTCTCTAAAATCAGTAAACATATCCTCAAGAGAGGATTTTAAAAACTGTAATAATTTTTTACTTTTAAGAGTTACCTGTTGGGGGGTTGGGGCAGGTGGAAGAGGGAAAATGGAGGATAAATGGTGATGGGAGGAGACTAGACTGTGGGTGGTGAGCACACAACACGATGTGCAGATGACGTGTTGCAGAATTGCGCACCTGAAACCTGTATAATTTTATTGACCAATGTCACCCCAATAAATTCAATTTTAAAAAAGAATAATAAAAAAGAGTTGCCTCTTACTGACGTGGCTTCTAGCCAGTCAGCCTAATGACTTAAACAAAAACTGATTTCCGCCTCTTTTCTCCGCCCATGGAGTTGGTTTCTACCTGGCTTAGAGTTGCCCTGTTTGGAAAACAGTGGTTTGGATTCCTCAGGCTACATGTGCGTTTTGATTTCACAGTAGCTTGCCAACTGTCTGAGTTCATTTTATTTTCACTGTACATTTTATTTTAATTCAACTTGGCTTGTCTGCAGAGGCTTTTCCTTTCCTTAGTTTTAAGTGTAGTGAATTGACTCACGATGGACATCTAAAAGGAAGGCTTTGTCTCTGAATTGTTTTTCCTGTTCTGCTTCCAGAGTTTAGTGAACTTTTGCCTCCATTTCTTGATGCAGGGAGATGCCACAATAAGGAAGATGCTGAGCTTCTGGTGGCCATTGGCTCTCATCTTGGCCACACAGAGAATCAGCAGGCCCATCGTCAACCTCTTCGTTTCCCGGGACCTCGGTGGCAGTTCTGCAGCTACGGAGGTAGGGCGGTTTCTGGCACTCGTTGTCACCTTATAAAGAATGGGGGCAGGGGAAGTGGATTACAGACTTGTTTCCAGTTCATCCGGAGAGCTCAAGTAATTCGGTGAAAAGAAATTAGATGACACGTGCACACTAGGAAGCCATGAGGGTCTCATTTGGTGACTTGCAGTCATGTAATTTTATATCTTTCTGAGCATGGAAGAAAATATCTCATTCATCCTTCATAATGATGGTATGAGGAAACTGAGGCAAGGACACAAAGTTAAAGACACAAAACTAGCACAAAGCTGGGCTAATATTAGAATCCAGATTTTCTGAGTCTGGCCCAGCGGCCTTTCCATTTTTCCACGGACTCAGCATGATGCCTCCTCACGACAGCTGCAGAGGACGATGGGAGAGGCGTGCGGCTGCAGAAAAGGTGGGAAGACACCGAGGGTGGAGGGTCAGCGCTTCCTTGAGGACCCACCTCCTGTCACCTGTTTTGTCTCTGCCTTCCTGCACTTACCACCCACCCCCTCAGGGCTCCGTGTGCTCCTCAGCCGTCTGCCTTCCTCCAAATGAGGAGTCCACTCAGACTCAAGAAATTTACCTGGAAACTGGCACCTACTCCAAAGAAAGAGTTGCCTCACTCTTTCCGTCTTCCAAGTGTGGTACGAACAAACAGAATGACTTCATCTGTTTCCTCCGCCGCCGCCCTCTGGACAACCAAGTCTGTCTGTGGAACGGCTGATCCTTCAGGAAGGCCGATGGCTGCTCATCAGGGCCCCTGTTTACACAGTGCCCTTGACCGCTCCATCAGCGCGCCTCCTGCCTGGGGTCTCCTGCCAGTTTCCATGTCCTGGGAAGCAGCGCATGTGGGCTTGGAAAGAGAAGCACATTAATCACCAGCAGATCGCTTTCTCTTGCCTCCGTTTGTTCCTGGAGTCTGTGTTTTGAACCATGCATGCCATCTTGGGTGGCTCCTGTAACCCAGCAGCTGTTTTACCTAAAGACTGCAGTGTAAGTTGCCCAGGACAAAAACTAGGACCCCATCACCTGTGTGCTAGAATTCTGCCTTTCCCTTAAAATACATAAGGCGACATGTATTAGAGCCATTTCTCAATTGACCTCAGTGGCGTAGAGACACAGCACATGGAGGATAGAATGGATGTTTATTGATCACCTACTTATGCGTCGGCATTTATGCCCATTTCACGAACTCCCCATAACCCTGTGCAGTGGGGGTTGTTATTCTCCTGGTTCTGCAGAAGGAGCAGAAAGGGAGGCCTGGCGGGTTCCTGCTTCACACAGCTGGTAGCTGAGGAAGAAGTTTGAATCCAGGTCCACCCAATTCCAGTGCCTAATTCCAACCCATTTTCGTGGAACAGCATGCTTGGCTTCCCGTAAGAAATAGTTGTTTAGTTTCCTTAAATTAAAAGTAATTGGGCTCTGCTGCCTGAACAAATTGGAAGAGAGTTGAGTCAGAAGGAGAGAGTACGCAAAGCCATCGGCAAACACAGGCTGACTGATGAGTCCCCCTGAGGGCCTGGATGGAGGCGAACAGGTGGACCCTGAGCAAAGACCATCCAGAGACGGTTCAGAATCACATGCTGAGACTAAAGAATTGGGCTGGCCTGGAGGGTTTGGTTCGGCTCTATAGAAAGAGCAAACATTCTGGAGTCTGGACCTGGGTTGAAATTTTGGCTTCTCAAGCCAGCGATCTGGACCTGGACCTGTGTTCCATTGGATTAGTGTAAAACAGGACCCATGGTCTCAGATGCTCTCCCGGGGTCCACTCATCCCACTCCCAGGGACACAGTGGAGCACCTATCCCTTCCTACCCCCACCCCAGGCTATCCTGTGGCAGGCCAGTGCATGTCACCCAGTGCCAAGTGACTTGTCAGCGGTGGCCACTCCTGAGACAGCTTGCTCTGTCAGAGGGCCCGTGGCAGCTACGGGAGATGCTCTCCAAGAACACTGATGCTAACTCTGCTGCCTCTTCCTCTTGCAGGCGGTAGCAATTTTGACAGCCACGTACCCCGTGGGTCACATGCCATATGGCTGGTTGACGGAAATCCGCGCTGTCTACCCTGCTTTTGACAAGGTGAGAACCTGTGCGGCGTGGTGTCTGAAACACACTCTTTAAAACTAGTATTTGATGGGCAGGGAACTCTGATGAGGAGCAGTTGGATTTTTCCCAGTCTCACCTCCCTTGGGAAGGTTACTTGGCACTGGGGATGTTGGAGGTGACGGTGGAATACTTCCCTCAGAGCAAAACAGAGGGAGATTTAAACTTAACTTGAAACTGAGCTTATAATGCCTCTTCAATCCTATTGAGAAGTTACTAGTTTGAAAACAGGAAAATATACTCTCAAAAAATGATACACTGGATTTTGTTTCTGTGGTTTGTATTCTTAGTGAAGCTAGTACTTACTGACTTCATAGTGGATACAAAGATACAGACGGGAACTGTGTGCCTGAGCTCATAAACGTACAGAAGTCTTGCGGGGGCGGCGCATGCGCGCTGAAGCTGTCTGTGCAGCAAGCGTGGGTCCACCTCGGTCTGCAGTGAGTTCAGCAGACTCACTGTAGCCGAGAGCCTCTGATCACAGCTGCTCTGTCTTCCGCTGAAGTGGCTGCTGCCCAGGGAGACACATCACCCTTTGGACATGTACCCTCTGTCTGGGTCAGGATCATCCTATAAATGTCTGGTACATTAAGCTTAATCATTTGAACCTAAAACTAGTAGCCTCTCTTCCTAAAACAAAGGTCTAGCAAAACAGATAATGTGCAGTGTTTTAAAATGAAAAACAGGAAAGAAGCACACAGCCTATCACTCATACTCTTAATAGCAACTGTTTGGCGTTGAATTTCTATAGAACAAGCTCAGAGCCATTGCCATGTAACTTTATCTTTTTTAAAAATTTATTTTTTAATTACAGTTGATATACAATATTATAATACGTTTAAGGTGTACACCGTAGTGATCAGACATCTGTGTACCATAAAAGTGATCAGCAGTATCATTTTTCCTTCTCCCAGCAAGAGCCCCGGGAAGGCAGGGAGAGGAAGCCTCTTTGCCAAGGATCCCCAGCCGATCGCGTGCCTTTGTCCCCACACCCACAATCACTCATGAATAGCAGCTCCCCTCAAAACACTTCTGCGATTGCCTCCACACAGTCTCATGAGAGACGGGGGAGTGGTGGTGCCCCGAACTCTTCACTGGGTGTGGAGCTTCCCCGACAGGCCACTGGGTGGACCCTCCACCTATTGCCAACATCCTTGCAACATCCAGATGCAGAGCGTCTCTTAAAAAGTGCATTTCACTTCTGCTTCCCAGGCCTTTGTAAGTGCACTTCAGAGGCGTGAGTCACTTGCAGGAGAGAGCTGACAGTCCGTGTGCGAGTGGTTTCATCCGATCTAAGGATAGAAATCACTGTTTTCATTTCAAGGAACATGTGTATAGACATAAATCCTAGAAAACCAAAATGGGTGTCAGTCCTCTTGCTAAATTTCTGGCTCTTGGAGAACAAGATTATAGAATGAAACTTGATGAGACTAGCAGGTACTAAAGTGTTGGAACCTCCTGGCCACGAAAGTCTCATCTGAACTCCCTTGAAATAATGAAACTTAACAACACAACACTATACAGTTTCGCTAGGAGCGGCCAAGGAAAACATCGTCTCGTTCACGATCACAGAGGTGAGGCGCTATGAGAAAACTCCCTTAACGAGCGTCCCTCAAGCCAGGAACTGGAGCGACTTACTCAGAGCCCTTCGGGGGCCTCACCCATTGTTTCCGGGCATTCCACCAAGCTACTGCAGCCGTTATGTGAATACGTCTGTCCCCCGGAATCTTAGACACCCCTGTGTGGACTCCTAGGATGGCCGCACTGACAGTTGAAATCCTCAGCCTCTCTGTGGATTGCAGAATAAGAGATTTAAAATTTCCTGCATAACTTCCGATGGTTCTAGCTCAGTATTGGATGGGGAGAACTTTCCCTTTATACAGATTCTCTCTAATGTGTAGTTTTCATCTGTAGAAGAGCATGTTTCTGAGCAGATTGGGCAAATAAAACACAGATGCCAATGCAATGATACATGCTAGTTTACTCTAACCATACTTACAGAAATATTTTCTATTTTAAAAATGAAAGTGCACCTGAAGGCACTGAGGCACGTTACCGTCACCATGGGCGATGTGTGCCTAATTCTTTCCAGTGCTGCCGCCCTCTCCCTTGGCCCACCCAGGTACCATCCGCACAGATCCCTGGGGTCAGTGGAGATGGCCAGGAGTCCTACCCTCTGTGATTTGCACTTGGCCATGGGAACAGTCTGTCACCCAGAAAAGCAGATATGCTTTAGAGGCTGGAAATAAGAACAGGTCAGCTCATCCAGAGCCTGCGCTGGCGGCATCTGTTGGGAAGAGATTGGAGAGATGGCCTCAGCCTCCAAAGCTAAGGAAGCATCAGTAGTTCTTTTCAAAGTGGAACCTGAGCGTCTTGGCTTGTGTGCCTTTCACCAGGCTATATGCAGGAGTATGTTTTCATTAGTCTTCTCGGGGCCTAATTGGGTCCATAACAAGGTGGGAGATACTTTTCTCTGCTGGTTTTCACAGTCGAGGGCCAGGCATGGATTGGGTGATGGGTACACTCAGCAGTGGCACTGGGGTGGCCTCAGCAAGGCTCTCAGATTCAAGAATGTGTAAGAAAACATCTGAGCCTTCTGCTTTATCTGCTTAAAATTCAGTTTAACAAAGGCTTTGAAGCACTTCTCATACTCAAGAAAGATTGTGCTAAGTTGCAGGAGCTAAAGAGATGGGTGAGACACACCGCCCATGTCTCACTGGGGCTTTGACCCAGCCCCTGAATACAGGCCATGACAGCAAACCTGCTTCGGGTGGTCTGTTTTGCATCCCGGAGGCAGGATGAGGGAGGGGTCCCACAGGCAGGATGGAGGGGAAGGATGAGAGAGGCTTTAAGGAACCGATGGGCTGTGAAGATGGTGAGCCTTGAATAAAGGGGTGTTTGTGACAATCAGAAGATCCCACGAGAGGAGGAGGAACAAAATTACAGAACCCTGGAGGCACCAGTGAGTTAAGGAAGAGCAAGAGGGTCCCTTTGGGGTGCAGACTGAAGAGTCATGGCGGGGAAGTGAGACTGGGTCACAGCAAGGAGGGCCTCGAATGGCCAGTCTAACTTACAGTCCATTTGGTGGGGAGGGAGGGCCAAAGGCCACAGAGCAGGGCCCTGGTGTTCAGGGAGGTGCCCACAGTGGCCAGGGGAGGGCACAAGCCGAGGCCCTGGACTAGCGAAGTGGCACCCAGCACCAAAGTGAGGGAGCTGTTCCAGGAGACACTGCCTGGCGTTCGGTCTAGAACTCCTTCTGGTTAATGTCCACGTCCAGAAACCTGAGGGCCGCCTGAGCGAGAGAGACTCAAAGGGACAGCCATCTTCTGGGCCATCACTTGAACTCTGTATTTCAAACACAGCACATACGACAGGGACGAGATGCTCTGTCAGATGCACGCGCGGTCAGTTAGGGGTGACTCAAAGCCGCATCACCACTGTCCTGTTCTTCCCCCTAGAATAACCCCAGCAATAAGCTGGTGAGCACAAGCAACACGGTCACGGCGGCCCACATCAAGAAGTTCACGTTCGTGTGCATGGCCTTGTCGCTAACGGTAAGGAGAGAGACCGCCGCCTCCCCTACCCTTCCCCATTTTCGTTAAGGAGAAAGAGTTACGTTAAAGGGAGATGTCATGTATTCCATAAGGTGATGTTATGCGCAGATTAATCAACAACCTCTTCAAATCATTCTCAGCCCAAAATGTGAACGATCGTTATGCAGGGAAGTCACTGAATTCCTGAACCGAGGGCCGTCTTCTGGGCTTTCCTCGGGGCTCCTCACGTGCTGGAGAAAGGCAGGCTGTACCTCGCACTTTAATCACACTCGTGTCTTGCCGAAAAATTTCCAGCCCATTTTTGAACATCCAGAGTCAACCATCCCTTTTCCAAATTTAATTGGTGCTATTTTCATTTCCCCAGTAAAAGCGCCTTTCCTAATCACGTTTATGCTGACGCATCCTACTTATTTATTCACTGCTCAGCATATACTGATGGAGGCCCCACCGCCTCCCAAGCCCTGTGCCGTCTTCCCAGATCCCGCTGTGCACGGGTGCGGGTCACGCTGCCCCGTGGGCAGGGCTGGGCGGTGACTCTGCACAGCCTGAAACGAACAGCACCCATCCTTCCTCTCTCAACTCCCTGGCAATTCAAGTGTAGAGGATAATGTTCAAAAACATGGGGGAAATACTTACGCACACCATAATCCAAAGCACATGGTATGTAATTTAAGGTTGTCTATAACACTTATCGATGGTAGCAAAAAAAAAAAAAACAAGAGAAAACCCATAACATGTATAAACAAACTTACATGTAGACAGTGCCCTATGGATGAGGACAAGAGAAGGATCAAAAGACACACAGGTCTTCTGGACCCCATTGGTTCCCTTGGTGTGTGGTCCACGTTTCCTGTGAAGTCCTGCAGAGGTTCTCCGTTTATTTAGTGCAATGCAAGTGTCTTCCCGAAATGCCTATGTGTGTGTGTGTGTTCAGTTCTCATCATAAGTGACTGACAGCGGGACCTAAGGGAGTAAAGTGTGTTGCCTTCTGCTGGTGACAGGGACACGGTGACTGCTGTCCCTCTCAGCGCTGTCGCAAGAACTGTTTAGCTTGATGAGTCCTGGTAGTGGTCCTTTCAAATCAAGCCCTCATATGTTTTAAACCTTTAGTGGGTATTTTTTTCAAAGTCCACAGCTTAATATTGGACCCATTGATCCAGCACCTGACTAGATTGTAACAAGGGCAACATGAGACAAAGTGCCCATCGTGTAACCCCTCTGACCGCCAAGACATGATCTTGCATCCTTGTGTGCTCAGCCACCGGTCCCTCCAACCCAGCCCCTCCCACCTGCCTGTCTGTCATGAAACGGTGGGGCGGGGTCAGAAATGCAGTCCGGTGCCACCTGACCAGGGGGATTTCTGGGAGCATGCCTGTTTGCATCAGGTCAGGTTACTCCTGCAACCCGGCCCCCCAGTTTGCATTATTTCTCTCTATGGTATGCAAGTATTTTCATGATTCCCTAAAATATTAGCAAAACACTGAACACCCTTGAGTCTGTTTAAGAGTATGTTAGGAAAAACAGAGAAGGTTTCTGCTCCAGGCACAGACCTCAGCTCTTGGACACCATGGCACTATTAACACTGCAAATTGTTCCCTCGTCCCCAATCCCCTCGGTTCCAGACTAGCATTTTACCTAGTGGTGCTTATCCCCCGAAGTCGGTCCAAAACTTTGATCCCTTCTGCAGTGTCCCCCTTGAATCTTATACATGGTGTCTGTTTTGGCACAAAATCATAAAAATTACATAGCTTCTGTTTAACATGTCGGTACACGCCTGCCTTGTAAAAAGAACACATGCAGAGCCACCACCGGCACAAGGTAGAGAACCACGGGGAAGGTGCTGTTCTCCCCCAGGATGCTGCAGGTGCAGAGTGCCACCGGGGCCTGTGTCACACGAGATGTGGTTCCCGGGCTGCACCCCTCGGCTCTCCTGGGGCACGAGCAGGTTTATTGGAGGTAGCTGGCAGTCACAAACTGTTGTGCTGCAAAAATGGCAAAGTCACTCAGTGGGGACTAAGTCACAGACATCCAGGAATTTTATTTTATGACTTTCTATGAGTTTTTTTTCAATCATTTTTATCAGCCTCAGCTTAAAGGCAGAACCACTGTGGGGAGCGCTTTTCTTCTAAGCCAGTGGCACCCTGTGCAGGGCCCAGCCCTCAGCGGGGTGCGATGCACAGTCTGGGCCCTCCCAGCAGTGCTCGCAGGAAGACGTGTGGACCCGACACAGCTGCGGTGCTCCTGGCGTCTCGGTTTCCTATTTCAGCGCCTGCTCACACGCCCCAGGTGTGCAGGCTCTGAGCACAAGCCCATTCCCGGTGGCCTGAAACTCGCGGCGCCCTATTGCTCCACAGCAACTCAGCGTGTGGGGAGTCAGGAAAGCCCAACTCAAACACCTCAAAATGTTTTTTGTAAATTATCTCAAAATATATAAAAAAAAACACCCAGTAGGCGCATGTACATCAGGCAGCATGTGGAATGAGCACCACAAGGACATAAAACACCGGATTGGCATGCCGAGTGGTCATTTTGTATGTTTAATGAAGCCAGAAACCATTAGACCCAGGAACAAAGAAAACAATCAAAAAACCATCTGGTCCCGTGGAAGTGTTTCCCTGGCTTGCCTCTCCCAGTGCTTAGCTGTCACCTGCACCTGCAGACAGACCACAGAAGTGACTTGGAAAGTTGAGTCACTTTCAGCTGACCGATGTGTGGCCATTGCTGAAAACACTTTTTATTTTTAGCTTCATGGGGTCGTTACTGCGTCTCCAGCTCTGGGACAGACAGCCCACCCGTTCAGGCACACAGAAGTCAGCACCGCGACGTGTGCCCCGAGAGCATTCTGGGGTCTTTCCGGGCCTTCCGAGCCCAGGACAGGGCTCAGAGAACCACACTGCCATGCTGAGAACAAAAACATGTTTGGCGAACAAGAGTGCCTGGCAAACCTACCCGCCGTTAATCAGGTGCCAGGAGGTTTCCAGGGGCTTGTCTCTAATCCTCCCTGAGAGGTGGCACTTAACCCTGTGGTTTGAAGAATAAATTGGGAATTGGCCCCTTACCAAAAAAGAAGAAGTTTCTGGAGAGCCATGGTGCACAGGTGGAGCCAGGACATCTAAAGTGGAGTTGGGTTCATATGCCCTGAATGTCCCTGGGGCTCTTGTGGCACTTGACTGCCCCCTTTTATTTTAAAGGGCTGAGAAGAGAGGTCCAGGAAAGAGGGATTTAGCTCAACCTTGAATTTTGGGCCACATAGCACAGTGGTTATAGATGTGGGCCTTGAAACCCCAGGGCCTGGGTTCAAGTCCCGGCTGTACCACTCACCATCTGGGTAGCTTTGGGTAGGTTACTTAATACTATCCACCTTGGCTTCCCTAGCTGCCACCTGAGCATACGCACCCTGTAAGACTTCTTTAAGGATGAATAGCTGACATAGCACACGCGAAGAAGACCAGCTGTCATCATCTGTGATTCTCGGACACGTGGGCTTCCCGCTGAGGGCAAAAGCGCTGTATCCCTGAATACGCGGTTCTTGGTATAATTGAGGCCAGTGAATAATTTTTATGCACTTTTCAATTTGGATATATAATGCCCTTCCAGGGGTTTTTTTGTGGGATTTTCTTTTGGTGTTTTTCAAAAACTCAGCCCCTTGATAGATCCACACCTCCCTTCCATAGGTGGGCCTCAGGCATGCATGAAACACAGGCACCCACTGTTCTCCCTGAGGCTTGGGGAAGCTCTCGGATGTCCATCACGCCTTCCTGTTTGTAGGTGGAGAGAGTGCTCACTCCACCTTTGGGCGTCCTACTAATTTAAAATGTCAGTTCTCCGCCCCGGATGGTGTGGCTCGGTAGACTGAGCATGGGCCTGCAAACCAAAGCGTCGCTGGTTCAATTCCTGGTCTAGGGCATATGCCTGGGGTGTTTCTCTTCCTCTCCTCCCTCCCTTCCCCTCTCTCTAAAAATAAATCAACAAAATCTTAAAAAAAAAAAAGTCAATTCCCTACAAGCTGCAGTGAGTCCAAAATGAGAGAAAATTAGAAATTTAGGCTTCTAGCTTAGACATCCCGTAGATCTATATACACCAACCAAATATTAGAAATGCCAGTGAGGAGAGATTTTAAGCCACATGTGTGTGCATTGCCAAAATTATGAAAGGCCTGGGCGGTGGAACAGACACTTTCAATGCAATAGATGATGCTTAGGGGGCCTGTTTACAGGCCCAGCTGCACAGAGAACGAACACGTTCCTATTTACTCCTGTGGTCATTCCGCACAGGCCTGGGCTGCTGCGATGTGCCGGACTCTGGGACCACCGCAGTGAAAGAGGCCCAGAGGCTCCTTTCTTAGGGAATTTATAATCAGAAGACAATTTATAATCAGGCAATAAACATGCATTGCGGAGTTGGGTAGCATGTTAGTTTCCTGTGGCTGCTGTGACAAATTACCACAAAGCTGATGGCGTAAAACAACAGAAATTTGTTCTCCCACCGTCCTGGAGGCCAGAAGTCCCAGCTCAGTTCACTGGGCTGAAATTAAGGTGTCCGCAGGGCACGCCCCCTCCGGTGGCTTTTAGAGAAAAGTCTGTTCCTCGCCTCCAGCTCCTGGTGGCTGCTGGCATTCCTTGGCCACGTGACTCCAGTTTGTGTGTCTGTCTTCGTGCTGCCTCTTCTTCCCTGTGTCGGCATCAAGTCTGCCTCTGCCTCCTTCCTGCAGGGATACTTGTGACGGTATTTCAGGACCACCAAGTCAGTCCCAGCTAATTTTACCTCAGGATCCTTCATTTAATCATATATTACCATAAAAAGTAATGAACACTTGTTCTGGGGATTAGGGGTTGGATATATTGGGGGGAGTGGCTATTATGCAGCCTGCTACAGGGATTCACAGGTCTTTGGAGGAAAATTAAGTAAAAGGAAAGAGGGTGAGGAAAATGTTGTTTTGGACGAGACAGTCAGGGAAGGTCCTCCTGAGTGTGTTACAGAACAACAAGGGGGGGGCCAAG